CTATCCCAATTGTCACCTATATAAACATATGCACTCTTCATGCTTTAATTTATTGTTGCTTCCTCCAGATTTCTTCCCTAGTAGCCCAGAAGATGGGTTCTCCTGTGAGAGGTCCTTACACTGTCCTGTTCTGATACTTCGTGGCACTTATTCCAATTATATTTATCTAGTTATTTTAATTGTTTTTTGTCTGACTGCACCTAAAAAAAAATCTCCGTGAGTGCAAGACCCAAGTCTTTCTTGCTCCCTGCTCTACTGTCAACACCTAGCACAGTGCCTAAAACATACTCACCCAGTAAATACTGTTGAATCAGGGCCAATGTATCCATATTTGGTTGTTCAGGTTGGATAAGGCTCAATTCCAAGGGCACCATCTACATAGATGGTGATATAAATAGTGCCGCCTAGAGATGCACAACACAGCAGCCCTGTATTGAATGAAAGGATGAATAAATAAATGAGTGAATGAAATAGTTGGTCATTAGAACAGAATTGCTTCATTAGGGAAAACTATATTTCATGTCTAGTCTTTCTTAAAAACTACAAAATCCAACATGATTGTTATGCCTTCATATATGTCACACAGAAGCGGTTATTTTGGCATTTTATGTATTCTGGATAAGATCTCTTTTGCCCTTACTTGAATTCCATATATACTTTTTCACAGTCTTTAACTTGATCCACAATCCTCCAAGTACCAGTATAAAGTCCCACTTTGACTTTTTAATTGTACAGGGATCTCATTTTTGACTTGCAGGTGAAAAAGAGCTGAAATTGCATTCCACTTGTGAGCCAAAGTACATTTTTAATATGGTATTTTTATTCAATGGAACCCCTGAGTAATACCTGCAATGTATTATAATATGCTGGTAAATTATATACAATCACCAGGGGAGGGAAAAAAAGACATCCAAAGAAAGGTACAGATCATGGTGCTAAGAGCTGGATTCGCTGACACGGGGGATTTCAGATACCTGGGTGTCTACCAGAAACAATAAGTCTCAGCCATGATGCCAATCTCCAAATCTTACCACACAGCTAAATTCAATATCTGACTCCAGACTTCTATGCAGCAGAAATTGATCTATGAATATTAATAATGCCATTTATTAATAAACTCATAAAGGGCAGCAGCTTATGAGACAAAATGAGAATTCTTCTACATGCATGTGGGCTGACTGAACCCTGGTTTCTTAGGACCAAGAGTCACACCATCATCCTAGTATAATCTCGCCAATGGCAAGACTGATGCCTTGAATTTGTTTTTATATCTCACTGACACATACTTGACAGTGCCTTACACCAACAGATCCTAACATTTTTGACACCAGGGACCAGTTTCTTGGAAGACAATTTTTCCATGGGTCAGGAGACAGGGATGGGGAGGATTTGGACTTAAAGCCTGACACTAGATGCAGCTCTACAATTGAAGTACATCGATTCTCTTTCCACTATAAAGCCTGCCACGGAATGCAACTTAATTGCCACTTGTCACTCAATGATAGTGCATTGATGTGAGTCTGAAAACAATTGATTTATGACAGCCCCTGTGCAATCAAACCTTTCTACGACTGTTAATCAGTATTTGCAGCTGCTCCCGAGTGATAATATCACTAACACAACTTCATTTCAGATCAACAGACATTAGATTCTTTTTTATTTTTGAAGAGGTTTTTGCTATAGGGCATGTGCACTTGCCAGACAGACAGAGAGAGACAGAGAGACAGAAAGTGAAAAGTCACCCCCTGGGAGGATGGCCCACCGCAATTCCTTCTCCTCCATTCTTCTCTCAGGATCTTGGGCATGCAAGCACACATGCCCAGAGTGAGTTTAAGCCACCAAGTCCGGGACTCGAAATGCGCTCGACTACGTGGGAGTTCAGTGACATAGCCATTACGATAACTGCTGGTCCCGACATTAGGTTCTTATAAAGAGTGTACAACCTAGATACCTCACATATATAGTTCATAATAGGACTCATGTTCCTACGAGAATCTAATGCCATCGCTAACCTGACAGGAGAAGGAGCTAAAGCAGTATTGAGAGAAATGGGGAGTGGCTATAAATACAAATGAACCTTTGCTGCTTACCTGCTGTTCACCTTCTGTTATGTAGATTGGTTCCTAACAGGCCATAGGCTGCCAGCTGGGGACCCCTGCCTTACCTAAAGGGTTTACAGGTATTGATATTCATAGGATGAATGAGTAAAACTATTAAACAGGACAACTTAAGTCAGACTTAATATTTCACACTGCTCCAAAACATACTGCACTGATTCCTCAAACTAAGAGTAAGTCAAGTTTGAGTAAGGCTAGTTTCTCATCTGGATTTGACCCCTGAAATGGTTGATGCGATAACATGCCACCAAAAACATCTTCCAGAATAAAGACTGCACTCTCACAGCTATTGGGGTCTAACAATAGACAAAATCTTACCTGTCAACCCTCTTTGCAAAAAGATTCTGTCAGAGAGAGCTGCCTTGTCCTTCTAAGAGTGTTGCAGCCAATAACTGGTCAACCCTTGTGTATAAATTTAGACCCCTCTCTCCAACTCAGGACAATGCTGAAAGCTACCCCAGCTCCAGAACTTTCCATGAGGTCTGCTGAGGCCTTTGTTTGAGTCTGCAATGCAGCCCACCTTCTCCCTCTGCCCATTCTGTTCTGGATCATTCCCATCCATAGTATGCTGTAATAAATTTTACTGCATACTAATGTTTGTCCTAAAGTTTGCTTCCCAAGGAATATAACCTATACCTCATGCCTCTATGTGTCAACAAAATTAAACACAAAGGAATTGATTCAAGGGATATTTTTCCACATTAAAACAATTAAGAGTAATAAATGATATTATTTGAGAAAGCAACTAGATCTTGGTAGCAGCTACACCAGAGGATTGGATTCATATAATGCCAGAAGCAACTGGCAACATTCTCATGCATCATATGAGAATCCCGCTCCTAAGACCACATCAGGAATTTAGAAATTGATAGTGGTGAACTCAAGCGCACCCTTAATTATAGGCAGCATCAGAGTTCTTGCATTTTTAACTTCCTAAAAACCATTTTCTCTTCACTGTCTGGTTGTTTTTTATATGTAATTCCCAAAAATATGCACCAACAAGATGACCCTATAAGAAATCTCCAACGCATTGAGGATTACAAAGTCAAGTTTCCCCTTATAACTATTACAATGAGATATAATTATTGATGATACTCTAGTATACTTAAAAAATCTATTCTAAAAATTGATGATGCTCTTCTCTAGGACTCAGGAAACTATAGGCCAAGGTAGGAGTCTGGGGCACTGTAGGCAGAATCCAGCCACATCCGTTCATTTTTAGGTTGTCTATAGCTGTGCTCATGCTGCAGGAGTCAAGCCGAGTAGCTGTGACAAAGGCTGTGTAGTCAACAAAACTCTAAAATACTTACACTTACAATATGGTCCATCATAGAAAAACTGTCCTGGCCCCGACACTAATACAGTAACTGTTTGTGATCTCGATTTGGTAATAAGTGAATCTAGAAGAATTTGTTGAAGCGGGCCACTATATGTGTACATGCAAATTTTAAAAAGGAGAAGGAGGGGGAGGAAGAAGAAGAGAAGGAGAAGAAGAAGAATTATTATCTCTGGGCATTGAGATTAGAGGCAATTTTTGTATTTTTGCTTTGTTCTGCATTTTTCACAGGACACATATATTGCTTTTGTGATAAGAAAGCCAATAAATACTATTTACGTGGAAAAATACTGTTCTTTTGATTTGTACCATGTTATTTATGTCCTCCTTCTTCACATCCATTTAAGATTTTCTCATTAGCTGGCTGTGTACAAAGCAGTTCTGTAAGTGTGTGCATACTAGAGAAAATTTGTTTCTTAACACTAACACTACCCCATGTCTAAGGAAAATATGTAAATGATACGTTTTGGAAGAACTTGTCTAGCTATTGGATTAGGCATCCAGTTTGGCCATCAGAACTTTTAGAAAAATAACAACAACAGCAGCAGCAGCAACCCTGGGTTGTTTTTGTGACATCTGGCTCCATTTGGTAAGGTTATACACTCTGTGCTAAAAAACACGGTTTATTACGCCTCTGCGTCGTAATGCTTTTAAAATTCTACAATTGGTACAGAAAAATAGCCGCCATTTTCCCAAACCAGACCATTTCTTGGACTATAAAAATAACACAATGGTCATTGGAATTATATATGACCACTTTTGAGCACTTTTCTTCATAAACTGCAAGCCCCAAGCTCAGTGCTTTTTACCAGCAGCCTTTCAACAAGCTGGTGAGAAAGATTTGACCAGCCGATTTTTCACATGAGGAAACTAAGCTCCAGGCAGTTGGATAGGTGGCCAAAAGGTCACCAGTAAAAGCACGGCTTAGCCAGAAGGCAAGCCACTACTCTCTGACTACAGAGTACTAAGTCCCTGCTCGCTAAGCGTCACTGTCTTCTAACCATGTATGATTTTATCCCTAACGCTTGTCTCAATGGAAGTTCATAGCTGGCACTCAAGAAATATTTGCAGAATGACAAAAGGAGGATGCTTTTGAACCTGTTAAAGAAGGACTGAGAAGTCTGGCCTAGTAGCCTGACCTGATAATGGTTAAGGGAACTGGGTCCTACGTGATGGACTGTGGTTTCAGTCCTGGCCCTGGTGGCATGAAAAACATGCTAGGCATGTGTGTGTGTGTGTGTGTGTGTGGGTGTGTGTGCGTGCCTAAAATCCCGAAATGATGTAGAAACAGAGGGAAAAAGATAGTGGCATGACTACATGACTACACCCCATTTGAGGGTACTTTGTCCTCTCTCTGTGAGCACAGGTGCCCTTAGGCGATTAGAAAAAAAAATGTTTTAACTGTTGGGAAATCATAATTTTTACATGTCAACTTAAGCTATTTCACATTGTGTGTGTGTGTGTGTGTGTGTGTGTGTGTGTTTGAAGAGGTTTTTTTCTAATGGGCGCATGCAGTCACCAGACAGACAGAGACAGAGACAGAGAGACAGAAAGCAAGAAATCACCCCCCAGGGGTAATGGCCACATTGCAGTCCCTTCTTCTCCATTCTCCTTTCAGGATCTTGGGCACGCACACACACATTCCTGGTGTGAGTTTTATAAGCCACCGGGCCCAGGACTCGAACCGTGGTCAACTACATGGGAGTCCAGTGACATAGTCATTATGCTAACTGCTGGTCCCTCACATAATGCTTTTCATCTCTGATATAAAACAGTAACAGACCAATTCTGTACATGACACCAAAACACTTCTTATTTTAAATGACTTCAGGAAAGTTATTGGTTTAAACATGTTTTAAGTCCAAATTGTTTTATTTATTCCAATAAATGTAAAATTTTATGTAGAAGTCATGTTTTCTGATTCCCATACTTAGCCTGATATCACATTAATGTCACAAAGGAAATATCAGAACGT